ATTAATACCAGTTGGTTCCTTGTAAAAGAAATATTTTAATTAGTGAAATTTAATTTCAAAACTACTTATTAAACATATTATTTGACAGAATGGCTATAGGGAAGTCAAATTAAAGATTATAGTCCATGTAATTCATTTATATTTATATGTATGATAAATTCTAAAATTATGCCTTAAATTATATGTTCCTTTAAAAACAAGGTCTTTTTATATAAGTAGCAATTCAAAATTAAAATAATGCATATGCAGAATAAGAAAGTTAGCTTTCATCAAAATAGGAATAATATTTTGTCATTTGTTTATTGGTACCCTATAACTAAAAATTATTTTATTGGGAGAAAAGCCCTTAAAATGCAAATCTTCCAGGTGAATAGTTTAGAAATACTGAGGAGCTATAAATGTATTTTCTGCTGATTCAGATAGCACTCTTGAATGAAAATATGTAGAGCAAATATTGGCTGAACACCAGCGGACTATATCAACAGCAAACTTTTCACTCTTGTGCCACTTAAAATCTTGTACATTTCTTTACTACAAAAAATGTTCTATTACATTTTTCTCTGAACGCCACCTTTCTCATTAAAATTTTAAGCTACCTCATTAAAATCTTCAAGTCTACAGTTTTTCATATCATGGCATTAATACCTCCACATCAGTTAAATTGATTGAACAAATAACAAGGCCTATTCAAGATTATTAAAGCATGTGTTTTCCACATTGGCTTTTATTTCAATATTTTTTAAAAATATTTCCTGTGTGAACTCTGGAAGCAGGAAGCTGGAAGGGATACACTACTTTTACATTAGTGCCACCCAGCCTTGGAGAATCATAAACACTGCTCCACTGAGTCACCATTTTGAAGATGGGCCAGATGTGTGGCAGTGTTATGGTGGGCAGGGAAGTCCCAAAATAACATGCTACAATCTGCCTGTGACTCATCAGCATATGGGTATGTGTGTGTGTGTGTCCCCAAGCAATGTTTTCGGCCAAATGGTGCTTAAAAATACTGACAATATTTTACTTCAGCTTGAATCTTGTGATTATCAACTGTGGATTTTCAAGAAAGATGCAAAAAGGCAAATGACAAAAAGCATATGTAACTAATTGAGGGCTGTAGTCCTCAAGAACTAGGAGTAGTTAACTAGGAGCACAAGTTGGGGATATTGCTGCATTAACTTAAATAGAACCCTAGGAAATAACCATTTAAAAAATACAGATTTGTTGAACTAGTTGGTGTAGTTAGATAATGGAAAGACAAGCACTTGACTTTTTGTTCTTCCTGCCAGTGTTATGATCTTCCTTACAATGATGAGCTATTATGCTTTTTTGGGATTACCCAAAAAAAGACATTATCCTCATTTCCCAATCTGAAATGCTAAAAAGACACTGGGGTCACAGACACATAAATAGCAAAGTATTTCAAAGAGAATTATGGATTCACTTTTACAGTTTCCTAAGCTCTTACTTTAATGCTGTGATTTTACCATATTAGGAGAGATCTTTATTTTTCATGTGTTTGATTGACATTTTACTTTGTGTCTTCACATTTTTGGAGAAGTTTTTGGCAGAGGCTTGGAGAGGGGTTCTGGCTTCCCCAAAATAATTCTGAGGTCATCTTCCCCTGTGGGGAAGTATAAAGAAGAGTCTTGAGGAAGCAGCTTAAATTTGGGGCTCAAATGCTTATTTTAGAAAATAGGGAAAATGAGGGGAGTAGATGTTGGAGCATCTTTGCTGAGAGATGCCTATGGTGCTGCAGCAGGAGAGATGCTGAGGATAGTGGCATAGTCCTTCAGTGTGAACAAGGGTAAAATATATTTTGCTTAGAAAATCCAGTGCATTTTATTTAAAACTTTAAAGTCAAACAGAGCATGTACTCATATACTTCCAATATTCAAAAAGTATAAAGTTATATAGTGAAAACTTTGTCTTCTCTAGACCTCCCATTACCTAATTCCTCTTCTAAGAAGCAAATGTGAATTTCTTCTGTAGCTTTCTAGAGGTATTATATCTTTCCAAGCAAATTTATATGTATATTTTATCTTCTTTTACATAAATGGTAGCATTACATACCCATTGTTCTGTATCTTACTCACAACACATGTTAGAATTCTTATTCATACAAAAAAGGAGTCCCCATTCTGTTTTTATGGTTGCATAGTATTCCATTGTGAAGATATACCAAAACTGTTTAATCAGTTGACTATTCACAACTGTTTAGGCTGCTTACAATCTTTTTTTTTTTTCCTTAAAAGAATGCAAGAGGCTTGTGCGTTGCTGCTGAGGATGTAAAGTGAAGCAGCCATTGTGGAAAACAGTTTGGTGGCTCCTCAAAAAGTTAAACATAGAATTACCGTGTGATCCAGCAATCCACTTCTAGGTATATAACCAAAAGAATTGAAAGCAGGAACCCAAACAGATATCTGTATGCTGATGTTTATAGTAGCATTATTTGCAATAGTCAAAGGGTAGAAATAATGCAAATATCCATAAACACAAATGTATAAACAAAGTGGTAATACATAAAATGGAGTAATATTCAGCCATAAAATAGAAAGGAAATTCTGATACATGCTGCAAGATGAATGAAACT